ATTTTGTTTTTATAGTAATACAGGTCTATAAAAATGTATTAACTCTATACAACCTAACTTTAACCCATTTATGATGATGTATTATACATGAAAAATATTTGGCTGTCATGATATTTTTACTGAATGGCGAGTAATGGGGATATTTTTCTGAGTGGACATAGCTCTTTGAGGGAGATTAGACTTAATGGACCTTTAAGAAGGGGGCTCTTGCATTATCTCCAATGGTAAACAAGGGTGGAATGTACCGTCTGTGAGACATGTCTAAAAGAGCAGAGGACAAGTGAAGATACTGTCTTGACCATGCACAGTGTGTGTTACTGATAATTACTATTATGGAAAAAAATGACATTGTTACTTATTGTTATTGTTACTACACCGAGGTGTAGACAAACTGGAGAGCTAATGTGAAGTCTGCACAATGAAAACAGTCTACTACCATCTTCATACAGCAAAACAAATCGCATATAAACCTTGGAAAATATATGCAGAATAAGAGATAATAGCACTGGAAAAAAGGAGGCCAGGAGACAATGCTTAATATTACAGTTCATGAAGGCTGAGCCTACAAGATACAAATCCAGGAGTCGACATTCAAGTAAAGTAAGGCTAAAGCCAGGATTTTGGTCCTCATGCGAGCCACAGGTTACCCACATTGAACAAGTACAGTGCATAGTATGAAACCATCTTAATAGACATTTGAAGAAAACCAGAAAAAACTAAGCCTGTGTATTAGGCCTCAGTCACTTTATATAAACTCCCCATAACTGAATCTAAAAATGTAGTTAATTAAAAAGCATCAAATGTAAAATGGATGACAGCTTAAGTTCCCACATACTGCCATCCTTCACAGAAAGATCTGTTTTTCTTACCTGCTTGGCACGTTCTGTCTTGAAGGCCAGGGCCTGCTCCAAGGCCTGTGGTAGCTTCACCTCACGAGGAGTCTCTTCTTTGGGAGCTGTTACATGCAGGGACATAAGTGGAGGCGGCTTCTCGTTCTTGTCTTGGTTTTCACCAGGGGGCCCCATAGTAGGAGGAGCAGCACCTAACAGCCCTGCACCCTGTGAGCAGTAAGAGAAATCCAATGAGGAACTTTTATTAACCCACTAAAGACGGGGGTAAAAATATATGAAAAAAGTGCAATTATGTACTCTACAACTTACAAAAAGTAAATACATAAAAAATATAATTTAGATTCCCTCAAATGGTTATCTTTCTATACTCAAAAGACTGGAGCAATGTAGACTTTGTCAGGAACAATCCCATATAAGGTATGCATTTGTAGTGCAACCTTAAAAGATCTAAAATCTCTAATATTTTAGATCCAATGTGGAAATATTTTTACATATATTTCAAATTAAGAAAATACCGGAGGTCTGGGTGAAGTGTTTGCCATAGGCATAGGCGGACGCTGTGCTGCAATGGAGGTTGGTGCTCGAGTTGTAGCTGTTTGAAGAAGTGGAGGCCTGAGAGGTGGCTGCTGTGGTGAGGGTGTGGACTTGGGCACAGACCCTGGTGCAGGGCCCAAGAGACCAGCACTTGGGATGGGGGCTGGGCCTGTGAATCCAGCAGGACCGCCAACATTGATTGGTCCTTGAGGATGTGGGTGAATGATGTTGCAGGTGGTGGCACAACCACTGAAGCCTTAACACCAGGAGGCCCCAGAACTGGAACTGTGCCAACCCCTGGTGGTACTGGAGTTACAGGTGCAGGTGCAGATGCCCGTGGGATTGGGGCCGTAATGCCTGGAGCACCTGCTGGTGCAGCTGGTATCTATAAAACAAAACATACCTCAACCAATGGAAATTTCATGAAAAGTATATACCAATAAATATCTTATCCATACTCATCACTTTCCATAAAACTATTGATAATCAAAGTTTAAACTACATATCAACCTTTTCATCACTGATTTATAACTAATAACTAAAAGAAACAGTAAACTTTCAGGCCTATCCTGCAGTTTCTTGTCAGAAATAAATAACAGATACAATGTCTAAAGTCATCCTCAACTAGCATAGAAGACAATCATAAAATCCCTTACTTTATGTTCTTCTTCCTTCTGTTTCAGAGCCTCCCTCTGCAGCCTTAGCAGCTGCACTTGTTTCTCGTGTTCTTCCCTCTGCTTTTCCTTCAGAGCTGCTTCTTGAAGACGGTACAGGTCTTCCTGCTGTTTCTGTTGCTGCTGCTGTTCTAAAAGCCGCTGTTGCTCCCTGACCTTCTGCTGCATCAGTCGTTCTTCCTCCAACTGTCTCTGACGGGCTAACATCTACCAAAAATTGCAGAATATAGAACAGGAAATACCAATCCAATGTTTTCTGGTTTCCCCCCCCACAAAAATCTATTTTCTACTAAGAAAGCTTTATTAATTATAAAAATGTATTTCATCTGACTAACCTATAATCTCATCAATTCTTGATTATTACAATAAACCATAAACAAGATAATAAGTATAATACACTTGAAAAATAAACAACAAAATCACCTCACCTCTTCTTGTTCCCTTGCCTTCCTAAGGAGTTCATTCTGATCCTGAGGTGGTTCCCCTTGCTCTTGCTGTGGTGGCTGAGCTTGCTGCTTTAGCTCCTGCTGTTGCTCCTGCTGGTGTATCTCATGCCCCTCTTCCTCCTCCTCTTCCTCCACCACCATGTCCTCCTCCTGCTGCTGCTCCTCCAGTTCTCTGTTCTCTGCTTGCCCCAGCTGGTCTGCGTGGTCTCCCTCTTGGCCTCCCTCATCCATTTCCCCATCTAAATTGAAAACATGTGATTTTATCCATGTATTTCTAACCATAATGCACCTTCTAGCTATAAATCACAACAGTAATAATAGCATCAATAAAAACAAATCTGTTCAAACATTTCACAAAACTCGAGTTCAATTCCATCCTAATCACATTAGGCTACCTTACAGAATATAATACAAATTACACTACCTTTGTCCTCTTCCATATTGGCAGCCTCTTCCTGGGCAAGCAGGTGTTGATAAAGTCGTTCCACAAGCTCACTCTTTAGACCTGAAAGGATGGAAGAACAGCTGATGATGAAAAAATCTCTCATCTTACAATGTCCATCTTCTGTTGCAATAATAACTGGTACAGTAATAGTTGATTAAGAGAGCATAAAATAAAAAGAATAACAATAATTATTACTATTACCATTACATTTTAAAACAAAAACAACAATAATGATGCAATTATATTAATGACAATAATAGTATATAATAATAATAATAATAATAGTAATAATAATAATAATAATAACAACAATATCATTATCATAATGGCCATTATTACTGTACTACAAATACTATTCCCATTCCTTCTTAGCTTCCTTCCTTCCACACTTCTTCCCTCTTTTTTCTTTCCCCTTCCCTCCTTCCCTCTCCATATTTTTCCTCTCCATATACCTTCCCTCCCTTTTTTCCCTCCATATTCTTTCCCTTCCCTCCTTTTTTCCCCTCTCCATATTCTTTCCCCTTCCCTCCTTTTTTCCCCTCTCCATACTTCCCTTCTTTTTTTTTCCCTCTCCATATTCTTTCCCCTTCCTTCCTTTTTTCCCTCTCCATATTCTTTTCCCTTCCCTCCTTTTTTCCCCTCTCCATATTCTTTCCCCTTCCCTCCTTTTTTCCTCCATATTTTTCCCCTTCCCTTCTTTTTTCCCTCTCCCTTTCCCCTTCCTTCCTTTTTTCCCTCTCCATACCCTTCTTTTTTTCCCTCTCCATATTCTTTCCCCTTCCTTCCTTTTTTTCCCTCTCCATATTCTTTCCCCTTCCCTCCTTTTTTCCCCTCTCCATATTCTTTCCCCTTCCCTCCTTTTTTCCCTCTCCATACTTCTTTTCCTTCCCTCCTTTATTCCTTCTCCATATTCTTTCCCCTTCCCTCCTTTTTTTTCCTCTCCTTATTCTTTTCTTCCTTCCTTTCCCTCTCCCTTCTCCCTCTTACTACGACTACAACTACTACTACAACTACTACTTCCTACTACTACCAATAATAACAATAACACTAAAACTTATATTAATACTCATAATACTATTAAAACAAATACTAATAATAATACAATGATAATAATAATTATCATTATAATTATAATTAACTACAACTTTAATAGTTACTAATAATCATAATAACAATTATAGTAATAAAGATAACAGTAACACTGATACTGATACTGATAATGATAACAATAACAATAACAAAAATAAAAACAAAACAAAAATAAAAATAATAAAATAATAATAATAATAATAATAATAATAAAACTAACAATAATAACAGTAGTATAAATAGCATTACAAACATTATTAGACTATCAATGAGTTTTTAATCTAAACATAAAATAAGAAAAAGACTAAAATGGTACTATCATTTCTATTACTTTTAGTAGTAATATTGCAAGCTTACTGTTAATTGTGGAAAAGTTGAAGTTTACTAATTGTCTTGTACATAGAGAAGAATGAATGAATGAATGAATGAATGAATGAATAAATAAATAATAAATAAATACAGTACATACATCTAAAATACAGTGTTATTTTCATACCATTACTACGTTTGTAACTGGCAAAAACTGTCATCATATTTATAAACTTTGCATTTCATGACATAAGCTTTAATGTTAACCACTCGCAGACGGGTGGCATGTACATACATGCCGTAGCTATTGCAGACCGAAAAACGGATGACAATGTACCATGCCCATTCCCGTGCCATTGGCTCATCGGGCAGAGTTTGTTTTTCTCCGATAGTAGCGGCTTCATTTATATGGTAAAGATTTTAGGCAATGGCACCTATAATGAAGGTAAACCACCTTCAAAATTATATTTTTATAAATTACAGCAAAATAAAAACTTTTAGGTGCCAAATGTTGCTTACAAACTAACGAATGAGCGGCGCCAAACAGGGGAAACTGTCTATTCAACAATCCTGTTATTAAGTCCACCTGCCAAACATTTTTACCTGTCAGCATTGGGTTAATAATATTAAGTAATCCCCATGCAGGTAATTTTACAGAAAAGTTCTGCCTAATGAATCACAACAATTTCTATAGTTGGATTCTTTCACTCTCTACTCTTTAATCATATAGAAACCCCATATTCTTGGCCCCGATTACAAGGGAGGGCATGAAAGGTACCAGTGAAATTGCAGGGTAAAATATAAATATACACAGAATCACTTATCTTAGTGCCTTATTGCTATAGACAATAAAGGGGTGGTAGCTCCCCCATGGGGGGCTACCATTCCCCAAGCCCACCCAAGAAAAAGAATCCTCGGTAAAAGCTAACGAGACCGACGCCAGGTGATAGAGGGATATGGACACTGCTATCTTGTAAAGCGGGAGAAATAGAGTAGGATACAAGCTGCAGCAGCCTCATAGTCATTGCTAAATGACAAAAAATATACCTTGTTATCACCGCTCAGATTCTAAGTCCTGCATCTTGTTTACTTTGCCAAGAATAACACAACACTGATCGCTTAACTCATTACTACGATATCCATAGTTGTTCATGGGTTACCATGCGCTTGTCAAAACAATATTTGGCTAATTATCAGTGTCTGCTGATACACATTTATGCTTTTAAAGTCTTTCATTAATGTTATTATACTTCACTTGTGTATTTTTAAGATTTATCTATACCCTAATTTAGAATTATGTGCGCATCGTGCGTTTCACACTTTTCTTTGCCAGCCGCCAGGTTTGACAGTTCCAAGCCGGTCATCTTGGGTAACGCCTGAAAATGTTGCGTTTCCAGTTTTGTGTTGATCCTGGATTATTCTTAAGACTATACAGTGACAACGAAGAACAAATAGACCAGTAACTATCCCAGTTTAATATCTGGGCCCATCAAGAGCTCCAAATGCCGAAAAAAGTTTTTTAAAATTGAAGCAATCCAGACAGTAGAAAGAAAGCAAAAGTTTTGGATTATAAAAGGTATTTGGTTTATTATTTTACGGTGTGAATGCAGCTCTATCTTGCTGTACACACCAAGGTGAGGAGAAAGTGTCCCAGGGAGTCTCTGCCCCCCATCAACCCTCTCCTCAGGCAGTCACCTAGTCACGGCAAGTTAAATTGGTATAAT